GTCGACGGCTCAGATGATATCCTGCACGCTCAGGGCGTGCTGGGTCGCAAATCCCAGCCCGACCGTACCCACCGACATCTCTCCCGCGCGCGCGGCCCATGCGACGCGGCCCCCAGGAGTGCCCGCGAGAGACCATCAGTTACGAGTTCGGCGATGTGAGCGCTGGATCGCCGCACAACGATCCTGGACATGGAGAGTTGATGCAACATGCCTGAGGCGGCCTCCAGGGAACGTGCGCACAGGGGAGGCAATCGGGCCCTCAGACGGGCAGCGCGTGCATTGCAGTTGGAAGGGAGTGTCTGGTGCCATGGCAAGGCATATACTCGGGCCACTGCCTCTGCTTTTTTCCCCGACCATCTTCTGCCAGTTCCGCGAGCTGCACTACCATCTTCTTCTCCGACCTCCCGCTTGAGAGGGAGACCAACGCGACCTCACTTTCAGTACTGGGGGCGGCCACCAGCGCCGTGAAATATCACACGCGTCACCTCCGCAGGGCTCATCGCCACAAGCAGTTGCTGACAGTCTGGACGTGTAATTGCGAATTCTAGTGCGCGCTGATAGACTTGGCGAAATGCTTCGGTTAGCCAGAGCGGCCAAGGTCGCGATTTCTGCATGCGAAACACGTTATTCGAACCTGGTACCCCATGGACCACTGAGGGCTACCGCATTATCCGATCCTTGCTTCGAGGGCTACCAACAAAAACATATATGGCGGTCTCATCGCTTTTGATCCGCAGATCTTCGTTTTTCCCAACCTTCCTGCGTTGGTATTCGTTTCGAATTGAACAATGCGCGCGCGTCTCCTCCTTTCCGCCTCTTTCCTCCCTTCAGCTTTCTTACCTGCCTCTTACCTTGCTCCTTCTTGCGTGCCAGGTTGCGTCCTACCTGGTATTTCTTGCGGGGTTGCGATCTGCCAAACTGCCGCCAGTTTCGAGGGCTGCTGGGGGGTGCGGCGGAGTGACGTTTTACGCGGACCACCATGAAGCCTCGCCGTCCCTGGGTGGTTGCGACCTGCGAAACAGTTACCACATTCGAGGGCTGCTGGGGGGGGCAGCGGAATCACTTCTTACGCGAACCACCCGGAGACTTCGCCATCCCGGGGGGATGCGATTTGCGAAATTGTCGCCATTTTCGAGGGCTGTTGAGGGGTGCAGCGGAGTGACGTCTTACGCGGACCACCGCGAGATTTCGCCATCCCTGGGTGTTTGCGATCTGCGAAGCTGTCACCACCTTCGAAGGGTGCTACGCGGTCCATTGGAGTGACGCCTTGCGCGGACCACCTGGAGACCTCGCCATCCCTGGGGGTCTGCGCTCTGCGAGACGGTCGCCACTTTCGTGGCGTGCTGGGGGGTGCAACGGAGTGACGTCCCACGTGGACCGCCAGAGGGGCCTTGCCATCCCTGGGGGGCTGCGATTTGCGAAATTATTGCCGCTTTCGACGGTTGCTGGGGGGTTCAGCGGACAGACGATTTACGCGGACCACCCGGAGACCTCGCCATCCTTGGGGGTTGCGATCAGCGAGGTTCTGCCGCCACTTTCGAGGGCTGCTGAGGGGGTGCAGCGGAGTGACGTGTTACGCGGACCACCGCGAGATTTCGCCATCCCTGGGTGTTTGCGATCTGCGAAGCTGTCACCACCTTCAAAGGGTGCTACGCGGTCCATTGGAGTGACGCCTTGCGCGGACCACCTGGAGACCTCGCCATCCTTGGGGTGCTGCGATTTGTGAAGTTGTCGCCGCTTTCGATGGCAGCTGCGGGGTACAGCGGAATGATGCTTAGGCGGACCACCCAGGGAACCCGCATTCTTTGGGGGATGCGATTTGCGGAACTGTCGCCAGTTTGGAGGGCTGTCGGGGTCCAGCGGAGTGATGTCTTGCGCGGGCCACCAGGAAACCTCGCCATCCCTGGGGGGTTGCGATCTGTTCACCTGTCGCCATTTCCGAGGGCTGCTGGGGGTCCAGCGGAGTGACGTCTTGTGCGGACCGCCAGGAGACCTCGCCATCCTTAGGGAGGCTGCGACCTGCGAGGCTGTGTCGCCACTTTCGAGGGTTCTTTGGGAATGCACCGGAGCGACGTCTTACGCGGACGACCAGGAGACCTCGCCATCCCTGGGGGGCTGCGATCTGTGAAGTTGTCGCTGTTTTCGAGGGTTGGTGGGGGGTCCAGCGGAGGTTTGTGCGAAACGCGGACCACCTGGGTACCTCGTCATCCCTGAATGGTTTCGATCTGGTCGCCAGTTTCGAGCGTTGCTGGGGGGTGCAGCGGAATGGCGTCTTACCGTCGCCACTTTCGACGGGTGCTACGGGGTCGAGAGGAGTGTCGTGTTACCGATATTCACGCTATGCTTCGCCATCCCTCGGGGGGGTGCGATCTGCAGAGCTGTCGCCACTTTCGAGGGCAGCTGGGGGGTCAGCGGAGTGCCGTTTTAGCCAGATTCCGATCAGACCTCGCCATCTTTGGGGGGCTGCGATCTGCGAAAATGTCGCCACTTTCGAGCGTTGCTGGGGGGGGCGGGGGGGTGACGTCTTACCCAGATGCAGATGGGACCTCGCCGTCCCTTAGGGGCTGCGATC